TTTGTCTTATGAAGTATTCTAATTTGTTGAGAGTGAATTGGTGGGTTTTTGTTAAATGTGAGCCAAAATCATCACAATTAAAAGAACCAAAGACTTAAACTACTTCAGTCTGTGTGCATTGAATTTATTTAATACACGAGTTTCACAATTTGAGTTGAATTACTGAAATGAACTTTTCCACGACATTCTAATTTATTGAGATGCACCTGTATAAAAGAATTACCAAGATTTAAAGTAATGTTTTTATTATGTTTTATTAAATTTTTTGGCCTATAGGTTCTCATTTGGAAGAAGGCCAGGTGATTTAGATCACCTGATGAACGTAATGAAAACTGATGGGTTGGATGGATGGAGACCTGATTCTTACTTCATGCGGCCATTCTCTGAACAGCAAGAGACTGAAAAACATGAATAAAGTGCATTTAAAGTGTATTTGTAGATCATTTGCTACCTCTGTAATTCAGCCCATGATATATTATGTATGCACTGTACTGCACACTACTGTACATATTGAAGCACCAGATACAACTGATTCTGTGAACTATACAAGTGTCATCTGTTAAATGTATCTAGAGGATCTATTCAAAAGTGAAAACACTTGTTCAATCACGCAAAATAAAAAAGGCTTTGCTTGACGTGGTATGCTCCAGAATGACTGACTCTCAGAGGACAGACAGGAAAAACTTGATTTGCACGCCCTGAAACTCGCCGTCACAGAGGTACAGTATTTAAATTTAGGAGTCCACCCAGGCATACATCAGATCAGCCCTGTCAACATCACGAGAAAGACAACTTGGGTACATCTGACTGAACTTACTGAAATTGACTTTTTACAGTGACTTTTAAAAGGTGAAAAGAGGACAGGAGATACAAAAGGGGTAAACGAGATCGTCTGAGAAGCAGAGAATGTCATTTCTATGCTCTTTTCTCCTTTTTGTGGCAGTGCAGTGATTGAGGATTTTAATTTCTTCTCAATTTCATGAAAAAAAAAACAGAAGTGGGACTGAAGAAGAGAGGAAAATTAAATAAAAAAGAAGACTCTACACATCTGAAGGCACTTGACAAAGGTACACTGAATTGAAATGGCAGTTCTCTGGTAATTTGGGTAATCTGAAACATATCCAATGCCTGCAGCCTTGTCTTTGGGTAAATTATTTGATTGGAACTGAATTTTTGGTGTGAAAAGTTTGGTGTAATAAAAGCCTCCTCTGTTCTACTTCTTTAGGAGCTTTAAGATGTGAGTCTGTGAAAGAGGAATAGATGACTAGGAGGAACTCAGTGCTTGTTTTGAATGATTTTGCTGCCATTTCGCCCTTGAACTCAGCTAGAGAAGGGTTGAGCTTAGTACAGACTCATTCATCTCACAACTACGTCTCTCTTTATTAGCTAATTGTCATTGAAGGTTCAAAACAACATTCCAACACGTGCATTCTCCATGTCAACAGATTTCAGATAAAGCTTACGTGATCCATAGAGCATTGATTTATTTCCATATCAGTTAATGGCAATGAAAGGCTGTTGTCAGATACTGGAACATAATTACAATCGATTGATTCTCTGCATCCGTGAGTCACTGCATAACTGTCTCATCCTCCCTCAGGCCTGATCCAGGAAACTAGCCATGGAGGAGGATTACAAGAAACCACCACCGTCTTATGAAGAAGTTATTACCCAGCAGCACACGAGCAACACTAGTCAGAGCCGCTCTGCTGATAACAGGCAGGGCTGCTGCTGCAGGTGCTGCATTAGCACCAAGAACTGTTTGATGAGTCCAGAGTGCGGTCGAGCTCTTAGCATCGCCAATGTGATTGCCATGTGTGGCATGTGCATTCGAATGTGTGTCTGTAAGTACCCAGAATGATGCATTTTTATGTGTTTACACTACCATTCAAAAGTTTTGGATTTTTTTTTGTTTTGTTTTGTTGAAAAAAAAGGACACATTAAATTGATAAAAAGTGACAGTAAAAAACATTTAAAATGTTACAAAAGATTTATTTTGAATTCTGTTTCATTCATCAAAAAATCTTGTATCACATAATACAAATAATCTAGTATAAAATGTATCACAGTTTCCACATTGATGATGATAAGAAATTAGTGCTGTCAAACGATTAATCACGATTCATCGCATTCAAAATGATAGTTTTTTGTTTACATAATATATGTGTGTGTACTGTGTATATTTATTATGTATATATAAATACACACACATGCATGTATGTTTTGAAAATATTTACATGTATTTACATGCATATATGTAAATTCACAAAATTTATATTATTTATAAATAGATTTAATATGTAAACATAACATATTTTTCTTACATATATACATGCATGTTTGTGTATTTATATATACATAATAAATATACACAGTACACACACATATTTTATGTAAACAAAAACTTTTATTTTGAATGCGATTAATCGCGATTAATCATTTGACAGCACTATAAGAAATGTTTCTTGAGCAGCGAATCAGCATATTAGAATGATTTCTGAAGGATCATGCGACACTGAAGACTGGAGTAATGATGCTGAAAATTCAGCTTTACATCACAGAAATAAATTATGTTTGAAAATATATTCAAATAGAAAACAGTTATTTTAAATTGTCACATTTCATTATATTTTTGATCAAATAAATGCAGTCTCGGTCAAAATAAAATACTTCTTTCAAAAACATCAAACAAACAAACAAACAAATAAATAAATAAAACTGACTGCAAGCTTTTGAATTGTAAACAGAAGGCACTGGCCTGAAGAGGCAAGACAGGCAGTGGCTCCTCAAAAAAAAATCTAATAATAATAATTAAGTCAATAAATAAGTAAGTAAATAATGTTGGATGAGACAAATTGGCCTGAATCTGACAAACTGGTACAAATAGTAATTACAAGGTAAAAAAAAAAAAAAAACCTTACTTTGGTGCTATCCCAATCAAATTGAACTTCAAATTAATTTATCTGTTTACCTTTATACTTTAGAAAAACAAATTTAATTGTGAGTGAGCCATTGGTCTGAATATAAGGTATACTAATATACAAATAATAGCTGGAGAACTTGGTGAGACTTTGAATAAGTATAAATAAATTGTATATTTGTGTCCCAAGTGTAAGATAAAATAGTGTCCCATGTGTGTGTGTGTGTGTGTGTGTGTGTGTGTAAACATGATCAAAGTAGAACTGCAACATGAATTTATATTAGACTAAAAAAACATTTCAAAAGTCCACTGCGTATATCTTGTTAACATAGCAAATATATCACTTCTGTGCTCTGCTGTTATAGCTCTCATATTATTATATTAGAGCTTCACTGTTATTTCAGATTATGTGAAGGTGACTTGCTGAAATTTGTCATCCATTTATTGTTTTTCTTTCTTTTTCAGAACACAGTCTCCTGTGGACCATCTATTCCAGTTCTCTCATCCAATGGTGGCCTTCTCAAATAAAAATGGAAACAAAGACATTTGCTCTGTTCCAAAACCTAGTGATCTGCAACATGTATAAGCTCACCCCCAATACGAATCCAAATGCTGTTCAAAATAGAATGCAGCTCTGCATGTATCATTCAGGTAATCCTAGAACGAACTGACTAAAATTTCCATTTCAAATAGGAAATGTCAATTGCAAAGTATAGCTTATAAATACAAAGTATATTAATTCAGTACTGACACATATCATTGAAAAACACGGCCACGTCATATGACCTGTGAGCTTAGCAACATGCTAACATTATACTTTATAAGAATCAACTGTGTTAGTAGTCTCTCATGTGCATCATGGGCCTCATTAATCAAATAGTAGCACAATCAAATAGGAATTACAAGGTAAAAAAAAAAAAAAAAACCTTACTTTGGTGCTATCCCAATCAAATTGAACTTCAAATTAATTTATCTGTTTACCTTTATACTTTAGAAAAACAAATTTAATTGTGAGTGAGCCATTGGTCTGAATATAAGGTATACTAATATACAAATAATAGCTGGAGAACTTGGTGAGACTTTGAATAAGTATAAATAAATTGTATATTTGTGTCCCAAGTGTAAGATAAAATAGTGTCCCATGTGTGTGTGTGTGTGTGTGTGTGTGTGTGTAAACATGATCAAAGTAGAACTGCAACATGAATTTATATTAGACTAAAAAAACATTTCAAAAGTCCACTGCGTATATCTTGTTAACATAGCAAATATATCACTTCTGTGCTCTGCTGTTATAGCTCTCATATTATTATATTAGAGCTTCACTGTTATTTCAGATTATGTGAAGGTGACTTGCTGAAATTTGTCATCCATTTATTGTTTTTCTTTCTTTTTCAGAACACAGTCTCCTGTGGACCATCTATTCCAGTTCTCTCATCCAATGGTGGCCTTCTCAAATAAAAATGGAAACAAAGACATTTGCTCTGTTCCAAAACCTAGTGATCTGCAACATGTATAAGCTCACCCCCAATACGAATCCAAATGCTGTTCAAAATAGAATGCAGCTCTGCATGTATCATTCAGGTAATACTAGAACGAACTGACTAAAATTTCCATTTCAAATAGGAAATGTCAATTGCAAAGTATAGCTTATAAATACAAAGTATATTAATTCAGTACTGACACATATCATTGAAAAACACGGCCACGTCATATGACCTGTGAGCTTAGCAACATGCTAACATTATACTTTATAAGAATCAACTGTGTTAGTAGTCTCTCATGTGCATCATGGGCCTCATTAATCAAATAGTAGCACAATAAATTAATTTGTAACATATGTAATAGACCTTTTTTATCTGCAAAATCTTGTTAATGTGACGGCTCCTTTACAATATGTCTTTCCTTTTTGGAAGACAATAGCAGACAATAGAGTTAAACAGTTGTATTAATATTTTCTCTTTAATCCAAGTCACCTATGTTTATATAGAGCTTTATACAATACTAAACAGGAAAGAAACAGAATCAGTGACGCAAACTGCATCAAATATGGGGCAATCCGAATTCTGCTGTAAAGCAGCTCTAACAAGACATTTCCAAAATAGTTGCAGTCATGGAAATGCCAATTGGGCTCATTTTTTTTTTCTTTCATAAATTGGAGCCAGTGATGTAATTGGATGTGGCATCCACCTTAATTATGTATCAGGGTATCAAAACTTTGCATTTATCATTAACATTTCTTCTAAAACTTCTTGTTGGAAAATATAATTCATAATACAGAATTATGTTTTAAATGACATGCACTAGACCGACAGGTCAATAAATCACAATGCTAGATTATTTTCTCAATTGTGGTGGATTTTCCTTTAAGACTGTAAAATATTAAACCTGTAGACTGAGAGTGTGTAAATATGGATCTTCTCCACTGTGGATATAAAGCCTTTTGTCTTATAGCCGGTACGCAAACAAATACCTTTACGTTAATACAGCTGGAGTGTTTTACCTCCAGGAGTAAATATTTATCCAGTTAAAAATAGTTGAACTCTACACTCAAATATGTAAAATAATAAAGATGTCTGACATTTGCAAATAAGGATGAATATGGAGTCTTTATTTTGTGTCATTTGAAATAGTATTTGCATCATAATCAGATGATGAAAAAAAAATTTGTTTTTAATATTTTTTAATCATTAAGAGAGAATCATTTATTATGGCCATTTGGGATTAAGATGACATGGTTGCTGCACTGAAATTTTTGATCTCCTAATTATACCCTGAATATTTGGTGTGTCAAGAATCAAAGGTCAAGCATTTCTCTGGGGCTCATAATTATTCAGGTTTTCTCTGGCTGCTCTCGCTCACTGGCCCATTTTTCAATGCCCGAGAAACAATACAAGATGTAATCAGTCTGAAGGATCCAAGTACAGTGTTTTAGTCCATGTTCATAATACTGGAATCAGAATCCATCAGAGTAATGAAGGTAATCCAATACCATAATCAAAACACACAGGCTGATATTCAGTGAACAAGGGAACAAATCACAAGATACAAATGAAATACACACGAGAGCCATGAACAAAATGAGCACGAACAAAAAGAACAGATGGTTTTATATATGCTGAACAAAGCAATGCACATCTGGAGTGAACACAATGGAGCGAAACAGTAGCTTACTGAATATTCATGCAGTACATACTGTATAAATAGGATGTGAAACAGATCATTTTAAACACGTATTACATGGCATGTTTTGATTATAGCCACGATGAGGCAGAGCAACACGTGTGTGGCACAAATCTATAAACTCAGAGATTATTTCTTAGCTTTATACACATGAGATCATCTAAGAGAAGCAAAAATAATGATAATTTTGTTATTGTTTTGGATTTGTTATTGTCCAAGTTCTTTAATGAATTCTTGACTTTCACTCTCAGTATGTGATATTTGATTCTCTCTGTCCAGCAGAGGTGAAGTAGAAGGTGATTCTGCTGCTGTTCTAAACATTGTCATGAGCTGTCAATCACTGCATCTATTCCCAATGAGGCAGTATTGGGCAACACTTTGAGTTCTCTGGAAAGTGGAAAAAGTGCACGCACAGGATCTATGAATTTCAATTGCTAATATATTATTTCTCAGTCCAACAGCCAGTGGTGGATATTGATTTCAAGATGGAGTCTCGGCAGATCAGTGCATATGAATGTGGTGTGACTAGGCTGGATTGATATTCTTCTATACAGTGTTACATTCTTGAAGCCCTGGATGACATGTCAAACAACTGCCCTTGTGATACATTTAAAAAATGTTGCAGTACTTTAATACTGTGCCCTCAAAAAGTATTGGGACACTTAAAAATGTATGAATGCCATTGATCAGAATCAGGAGCGCGACTAGACCTGCCAACATTTTCTACAGAGATATACTGTGACCCAGCTAAATTATTCCATGTAAATTAAGCCCACTTTTAGGGGAAAAAGTACTTCATGTGTAACATTCAACAAAAAAGCAATTTATCTGTCCTAATGCATCAAAAAATAGAATAATGCCATGTTAATGCAATTGCGTGGCACATTGTGACATTGTGCTGCAGTGCACACATAAAAAAGAAGGAACAAAAAGATCCAATAAGAATAGCTGCAAAATAAGATTGCTATGGGGGAAAAAACATTCAGGTAGGGCCTAGTGACACTCCTACATTATACAACTAAACATCAAACCAACTAGCAATCATTTTAAAGACAGACCTTTTTCAAGCACCTTTTTTCCAAGCAAAATGTTTTTGAAAAAAATAAATGGTTTTGAATTATAAAACAGTAGATATGTTGTTGAAAATTTATATTGTTGTCCATTGGCCACTTACTGTACACACTGCAGCTAAATGCAATTGTCAATTTTAGAGCTTAAACCTGTTCTGAACACACACAGTTCAGTAATTTACAGAAAGCACATTCGAATTAACTCTGAAAAATGTAAGTAGTGACAACTGCATTTACAATAACTGATTTACAATTTACAATTACAATACCGTTCTACTGAACAACTAGTTACTTACACATCTTAACAACTAATTATTGCCTCTGTCTCAATTATTATGTAAATACATATCTATATTTTTATTTATACAGTATATACAGTAAATAATGCAGAAATCTGTACATAAATCTTCTGTTCCAGATGCATACCACATTATTATTATTTATTTGGTTATTATTATTTCTTTATTTTTTCCCTTAGTCTTTAAATGTTCTTTTGTTCTCAATGCCATATATGTATGTATGTATGTATGTTTGTACCAAGAGCTCCTAAAAAAACACAACAAATTCCTTGTATGTTTGCACACACTTGGAGAATAAAGCTCATTCTGATTCTAATTCTGATTCTGATGTAAACACGTATCAGAGATGTGGCTCTCTTCTGTATGTGCAGTGCAAGATATCACAGGGAACAAGGTACATGGCTTGAGTCAATAATTGTGGTTCCATAATTGCTAGAGAAAAAAAAAACCCCGAACAAGACAACAATAATCCTGAATAAATCCAAATGCTTTATATTGGAAACAAGACCAAAATATTGCGACTCTCCTCCAAAATTACCTGTCTTTTTAAAATTCCTGTCCGTGTTAATTCTATACACTGGATCGCTTTATGAGCCAAGTCCAAACAACAAGCCCAAAGACGCTTATAATGAGTAGACATGGCAACAAATCAAACAGTGTTCTGCTGCAGCATGCCATCCAAGCATATAAACAAAACAAGATGCCTCTGTCGACGGTGGCTTAGTTAAAATCTAAAAATCACCAACACAACAGTTGCTTTAAATGTCATTGCAAAACATGGGTAAGAAAATGTAACTTATTCCTGAGAAAATCTCAGAAGTCATTTGTTTGCCACTTGGTTTAAAATTTTGCTATCTAATGAAATGATATTCATACATTTTAAGTGTGGCTCAAGTACTTTTTTTGGGCCACCGTCGTACTATATCATCATCATACACCATGATATTACTGTGATGGTTTTCCCATGTTATATTATATGGCAAATCCATGGTGCTTTTCTGTGAAAAGGTCTTCTGTGGATGTCAGAGGGCAGTTTTTAAGCCAGTTGCTGAGTTGCAGTGAGTGTGATTACATTCCCCCCGGAGAGCCGTGTGTGATTAGAGCTCATACCTGACAGTGTCGCAGTAATTTGCTGTCATTTGAGGGGATGATAGGTCTGATTCACTGATAGGTAATGCCATCTGACCAGGATGGACAGAACACTCTTAATCCATCCGTTCTATACACGGTAGACAGGCATCACATGTTGGACACGCAAAGCTAATCGAATAGTGACTCCATAAAGGAAAAAGAAACCCAGAGGGGGAATTTCAGTCAAAATCAAAGGAATATT